TGTGGTCGTTGTTTTTGTCTCTTTGTGGTCGTTGTTTTTGTCTCTTTCGGGTCATTTTTTGGCTGACTTTCAAACAAGAAATGTTCAACCTCACTGTATGCAGCGGTTCTGGTCTAGGTGGCCTTGGCCTGAACGCAGGAGGCCAACTCAGCAATCCATCCATGAAACAATACAAATAAGTATGTGTGCATCATAACTGAGGTCACCTCAATGTTGTAGTCCGTTCCTACTCAACGGACCACTTTGATGCATCACGACTTGATCAGCCTTCATGCTGTGAGCCAGAAGTACATAACGGGACTCATAAGTCATTTCATAATGAACTTCTTTTAAAGATTCAGCCGGGGCTTGGCAGCAGGAGGAGAGGTTGCACAAATGGAGAGTAGGCGTTCCCACAGACTTTCAGTGACCCTTTATCCCACCAGAGCCAGACCATCACTTTAGGTCTGTGGGAGTGTTCATGAGCATGTCAACGTTGACGTGGAAGTGACTTTGTGTAGATTTGTTTGTGGGCTTGTGAGGATGATTCAGCAGTGCTCCCAAGGCTCATAGCCTTCCACCACATACCAACACAGATCTTTTCCAAGGTGCTTTTGAGAGAGAGAGAGAGAGAGAGAGAGAGAGACCTGAAAAGGGCACATGCCTCCCTGCGCAATTATCCACTGTGCAACAGCACCCCCACCCTCAACACGCGCACGCACACAATGGTTTGACCAACACAACTAAAAATGGAAGCTGGCCGCTAACAGAATATGGCCAAAGAGCATCACCATGCCACCACCGTCGCATTGACATTTATCTCCTTTTCAATTGGGTTTGTGAAATAAAAGACGATTGCAAAATCTCCTCAAGGAGAGCATTAAAATAAGCACAGCAGCACGTCAAGGATGTCAGCTGGTATTGTCCATGATATCAAATCCACGTTGTGAAAATTCATGCTCCACAGAGTCTCACGTTGCATCGCCTCCCTGTCTCTGTCTCTCTCTCTCTCAGGCTACTTCAGCGCGTTGGCAGTGGTGCTGAAGACAAACAACGAATCGCCGTGGACCAACGAGTTTGACAGTAAGAGCTGATGAATCCCTGCTTTCAAAAATACAAAGAAGTAAAGCAACATTTTTTCATAACCCCCCATTTTTTCCAGGAATCGAGTTATCCTGTCTGATTGAGTCCATTTCCACAAGCAACCCCAGGATCGAATGGAAGAAGATAACGAACGAGGGGCCGAGTTACGTGTACTTTGACGGGAAGATCTCAGGTAAAGTGCACAAACAAGACTCCTCTGTTTCCTGCACGTTCCTTCATTGCCGACATTGCTGACCGGGCATTTCCCCTCCGACAGGTGACCTGGAGAACAGAGCGGTGATCAGAGAACCCGCCACGCTGGTGATAACCAACGCCACGAGGTCGGACACGGCCAAATACCGCTGCGAGGTCACCGCCGCCGCCGACCAGAAGTCAGTCGACGAGATCGTGATTGACCTCGTTGTGAGAGGTACGCCGACTTCACCTGCGTCATCAACCTAAACATCATGTAGAGTCAAAGATGTGACACGCGGAAATGTAATCAAAGATTCTTCCAAATGCAGGAAAACAAGCGGTTCTGGTGCCCTTAAAAAGAGAGACCTCGCTTAGTGAGTCACTCTTCTGGTGCTGTAAGATGAAACCGTGTTGTAGGTCGCACCAGCCCTTTGGCATACATACGAGGATGTGTTGTGACCAGACCTGCCCAGCTGCAAAGGCGTGTTCTGGGCTATAAGAGGAAACCTCTGAAACTGCATCTGCTCTGAATCGCAGCGCTAAAGAAAGCAAGCGCCGCGTGTTTTGGTAGCGTTTTTTGGCACGGGCCTTAAAAATCAGCCGGTCTTGTCAAAATGCTGTCAGTCCAGTGAACCCTAAGGGGGTCAGGGTGACTTTGATTTTTAAAGCATCAGAGTTAATAAGCAGGCATCATGTTTGTTTTTCAATGGGAAGCTAATAGAACATCAAAACTCATCTGAAGTGTAAAAGCTCCATGTTTCATCTCGCCACAGTGAAGCCGGTGGTGCCGAAATGCAGCGTCCCAAAGTCGGTGCCTTTTGGGAAGTCGGCCGAGCTGAGCTGCATGGAGGAGGAGGGCTTCCCCAAGTCCCAGTACCAGTGGTTCAAGAACAGGGAGGAGATTCCAGACGACCCAAAGTCCAGCCTCAAGTTCTTCAACTCCTCGTACACGCTCAACGCAGACACAGGGACTCTGGTTAGTATGCGCGCACGTGTGTGTTTCCGCACTAGGGCGGGCCAGCGGGGGGGGGGGATATTTTGGGGAGACAGTTGATGGCGAGAGGGGCTTTGAGCCACGAGGGGAGCCTTCTGTCCTCGCTTGCACATTCCTCAACTCTGGATCTGCTCAGTGCCTCGCCTCGAACGCTCTGCTGTCAACCTTCAAGCTGTGACGCGCTGAAGCATGCTACAGTGTAAACTCAGTGCAAGTGATACACAGTCGTGGCTGTTCACAGAAACACAGTCATCGCTGCTCTGCCACTCCCATATGAGGAAGTAATGCCCAGCGACCAATTTAGAAAATATATTATTATTTTGTATCACATTACATTATTTGGTGAGGAAAGTGGAAAGCGTCATTCTTTTTGGAAGCTTAAAGAAACCCTTGTAATTATTTTAAGGACATTTTCAATTATTGCATGAGACCACCAAATTCTGATTTGTGTTGCTCTACATTGCATTATTTTGCAATAATGATTTAACATTTATGATATTTTAGCTTGAACATAAAAAAAGCTCAACTTTGACATGTGAGTGTGTAGACATATAGAATAGGAGACGTAGAATACAAAGACAACTAACTTTCTGAACATTTCTTGTAAAAGATAATAAGATACCAACGAGTTGAACTTAAACTAATTGAACCTAAACTGAATCACGCAATTGCATTCTGAAAACTAAACTAAAACTAAACTAAAACGAAATTGAGTCAAAACCAAAATAGCTTGTAAAATAAAAAGGAATCCAAAATTCAAAACTATTCCAACCGTAGAAATACAATAGGAGTAGAGCGGACATTGAACTGTTTTCCGTGGTCATTTGACGAGCACAAAAGAAAAGGCCGATGGTTGTGGAAGAGAGCGGACACAGACGCATCACAGCATGGCAGAATCAGCAAGCCAGCTAATTAGCCAGCTAGCTAGCTAGGCAAACAAGCTGTCACTCGTCTGTTCATAGCAATGATCTTTCCAACGCTGTGACAAGAGCGTGTGGATGAAACATTAAGTTGTAATGCACATCAAAATGGCCGCCACTCTGACCATCCTGCTACGTTGATCTGGATGAGGAATGTCCATTCTACTCCTATTCTGCTTCTACGGTTACAACCTTGACTAGCACCACAGTCTGGTACGTTGCACTGACCGTACCTCTCTGCCCTCCCTGAATCCCACAGGATTTAATCTGCAGAGAGTAGGTTCATTTGTTCACTCTTTTATCAGAAGCAGACAGCAGTGAATAACAGGGTTCGTACGGTCATGGAAAACCTGGAAAGGTCATGGAATTTTAAAATAGTTATTTCCAGGCCTGGAAAAGTCATGGAAAACAATAAAATCCCAAAAGTTTTGGAAAAGTCATGGAAATTTGTTATATTCATATTTTCATGTCGTTCATTTACGCTGACTTGCCAGCCAGCGTTTCTCAGATTGGAGTGAGACGAGGAGAAAATGTGATGTGATCTTCGCAATAGAACATCTTTGATGTGTCGAGTCTTGGCCAATCAGCGTTCAGATGTCTTCAGCGTCTTCATTTCCCTCCGTTAAAGTTTGAGTTACGTTATGTACCGTTACCGTTCAGACTTGCTGGGTTAAGTTAACGTCCACTGCATGCGGAACTTTGTCGACTGTTAACGTTCGTCATTATCGCGATTTAGAAGGAAAAAACGTAGCGTGATGAAACATGCAGCCCTCCCGTGTTCCGGTTCAGTTCACGCGGTCACTCATTAACGTTAAACCGGAACACCGGCGCATCTGGTTGCAGGTTGTTTTGTTTAACTCAAAGTAGAATGAGATGATTTCGTGGTCAGAATAACTTTCATGACCACGAAACATGAGGCCCAGATACTGATGAGATGATGAGGTCAAAGAGCTTCAGGAAGAGGAGGCTGGTTGTGTAGCGCAGCTTGACGCAGGGCTGAGCTGTGAGTGGAGCTGGGCCTGGATAAAGGTGGAGGTCTAAACAGACGTGAGTACAGCTTCCTGCTGTCACAGTGTTTTAAATACATTGGTAAGGCAGGGTATGCTAAATGCAGCCTCTGCTCCAAGGAGATGAACTACAGCAACAATGGCTCACATGTCCTCTCATCACACTGCCAGACACTGTTCACTGTAATGACCACAGCCAGTGTACCAACAGTCCCAACAGTCCCACGTTGCTCCCAATAACCCTGAAGTAATGAGAGGGTTAAGGTGCCTGTACCTTCATTTCAGCAGGTTGCTAATGCAGAGGTGTGTATAGATCACAGCTATTATTTTACTCTTGATAAGGTACCTTAGCCAGAGTAGATTATCATTTTCATTTAAATAATTGAACTGGATTGAATGCATATTAATTGCAAGTAGAAGATGGGCCACAATTCTAACGGCTGTACAGTAACAGTGGAAGTTAATATTAAGCCCTACAGTAACAGGGTTCAATGAAAAATTTGCACTACAAAGGGAAAGCAATATGTGCACTAGCTGGATGCTGCTACCTACTAAAGCTCTTATTGATGTGTCAGTGTCAACCAGAGTATATTTATAAATGTTTATTCTTTTAATCAAACTATTGTCTCTCATTTGTTTGTGTCATTTAAGGTATACTGTATGCTTTGGAATTCTCATTGTTAGTTTAAATACTACATTTTCTCACTTTTTCATGTATACACTGAGATTTCACAAAATGTTTGGTCATGGAAATTTGGTTTAAAGTCATGGAAATCAATTGGTCAAAATGTGTATGAACCCTGGAATAAGTTAATGACGTGTTTGATCTATTCTCTGTAAAGACCCACACATACAAATCCTAACTGCTGATCCTAATCCAATATGTTCTAAAACCTTGGAGAACCAGCTACTGACTAAACAATCACTGACAGTACGAGCATCGGGGTTCACATCAATCACGGCTGTGTTTGTGATTTCTCCGATGCAGAAGTTCATCGCAGTGAGAAAAGAAGATGCAGGTGAGTACTCCTGCCGAGCGAAGAACGATGCAGGATACTCTGAGTGTCCACCGCAGAAGATGGAAGTCTGTGAGTGTGTCTCTCATACATTGTTAAGATGTATATATATGTGTATACGTACCTCTAATCTGATGACACAGATAACGTGTCAGTTACAGAATGATTGATTCATCCTGCCTGTTAGGATCAGGTTAACCCAATGTGCTCCATCTCTGCATTGTGACTTGACCTCCACAGACAACATCGATGTTGTGGGGATTGTTCTGGGAGTGCTGGTGGTGGTCGTGGTGCTCGTATGTATGACAGCGGGGATCTGCTGTGCGTACAAGCGAGGCTACTTCTCCAGCCAGAAACAGACAGGGAACAAGTAACGACCCATGTTCTCCCACTCGCATGATCAACACATAGACGCACTGATCCCACCTGTCAGCCATAACACCTTTACTGTGCTTTGTGTTTTGTAGTTACAAAGTTCCAGCTAAAGGAGACGGACTGGACTACGTCAGGACGGAGGACGAGGTTTGTAGACAGCAGTTAGATCTAGACGCCTGTAGAATTTGCACATTTTAAAACTGGGGAGACACTACAAGTGAATCGGGTAACGAATATTAGCTAATATATATATATCACCATGAAACTTCCCCAGTCTTACATTAAGACAAGTCTTTTTTGTATTACAAGTTTTCTGAAAAGTAAAAAATGCAAATGAGGCATTATCTTGTCAAATATGCGCTAATTTGCATACATTTCCAGAACAGAAATCTGAACATTGGATGAAGGCAAGTTCAAAATTATTGTTTCGTTTCGTCAACGTATTATAGTCCAATGTTTTTACAAAGGGAATTTGGGGTTTTGGGGAAACTTTGTATCACTCCAGAAATCTGAAAATACTGTCAGCAAAAACTATCACAAATTAGCCATTTTTTAAGAAGTAAAATGTTGTATAAATCAGACTATGAATGGTATATGAACGAACCCCTTTGTAAAAACATTCAGAACATAGGTAGGAATGGAACTGGAAGGTTTGGCGTCTGTAAGAGCTGCTGAAGTGGAGATTTGTGGCTCAGAGTCTGAGGAAAAAACTCATTTTGAGAAAACGTCCTTTAAAGACATTTTGAAGAGACTTGAAGACACTACAAGTGAAAAGGGTCAAAAATAAATACATATTTGATGTCAACATGAAACTGCTCTTGTTGATTAAGACAATTATTTTTGAATTCTAAAGTTCTAAAATGTTATGTTTGAATATGTAAATGAGGCAAAGAGACAAAGTAGTGAAATAAACAACTGGATGTGTGTGTTGGATGATTTCTTTCCACTAGTCTGAAAGAAGCTAAATAGACCGGTGCATGAAGACATTCTGTTTCTGCCTCTCGCCTTAAAGTGAAGGTGGGAAATCAATCTAGAAAGTGTAATATGTGGTCAGCAGTAATGACGTATACACATGATGCTTAACGGGCTCAAACATTCAGCCAGGGGCCGGTGTGATGAGGTGGAGAAAGAAGAAATGTGGTGGTGCGTTTGTAACAGGAGCATTCATACACTTCATTTTGATGCCCCGCCTAACTCGTCCCCGTGTGTTCTCTGCAGGGGGACTTCCGACACAAATCGTCATTCGTGATCTGAGGAGGGATGGATGAGGGGCCCCGCGCTGAGCCAGAGGCGTGACCTGTGGGGACCTGAGCTCCATGCTGTCTGACCACGGAGCCGCCACAGTCCACGCGCTCTGAGCTCTCAGCGTGACCGACATCCAACTCGCTCAAGTTTGCCAAAGGTGACGAGATTTTTCACGGGACAACAACATGCCGAACTTTAGATTACACAACCTAGTGGACTGAGATTCATTCGTCAGACTTTTTACCGCCGCCAACCGAATTCTTTTGCTAAATGATGGAGTTCTTACTTTACAGCTGTCGCATGGTGTGAGAAACACCGACCGAGGTGTTCTTTGTTCTGCCAGGTAGGAAAGGAGGAGCGTCTTCCCTCCAGTTTCTACTTCTGCTTCAAAACCTTCTCGTCATTTGTATAACCTTTGTTTTCTACTGTTGAAATTTGTCAGACTATTTTTGATGGAATATATTTTAAAAATGCCTATAGATAAAGGTTTACTTTTTTAAATATTTGTAAAATACTAACGTGTTTTTTTTTTTTTTTTTTTTTTTTTTTTTGGTCGCGGATAAAAAGAAATATGTAACATTTCAACCAGATCAGGCTGTAAGCATCGACAAGACAAGAAAAAAAGAAAAAAGAAAGACTTGAATCGGCATATCGCGCTGTGCTTCTTGATTGGCGGTCTTACATATTTAATTTCCTGCCGGCTTTTTGTCGTGAGACTCTTCCAGGTCCATGTTTGTAGATAGTCTTAGTGAGAGGCTTTGAAGAGTGCCAGTCCAATGCTGTGAAACACTGCACACAATCAGTGCTGCATTTTCTTGATTTTAAGTGTCCTTCTATGCTTGCTGTTGATCTTGTATATATTGAATTTGCTGTCCAGGATAGAGTTTTGCTGTCGTATGTACGTTCAGTATTACACTATAATAATTATGGTAATAGTAAAACAGGGTTAGTTGGTTAACCTTCCAGACCTAAAGAAAAGGAAGTTGTAATACGAGACGTGATACGTTTTACTGTGTAAAAGCCCTCGATTTGAATTCTCAATGGAAACAAATTGGACAGAGAGCTTCCTGTTCCTGCGAGGGACAGCTGAGCACTTTGTTATTTTGACTACTGACTCGCATATATTTAAGCCCCATTCACTGAAGGTACCGAGAACATACGCAGAAATGCCCCAGCTCTACAGTACACTCAGACTGCTGCAGTCAGGTGTACACTCTGTTTCAATACTATTCTTTGCTAATATTTGTGCAAATTAGAGAGTAGACCTCATTTTACATTTCTAACCTTTATTGTTTTAGTTGATCTGACCCGACACTTCAGTGGGACAGTGGTAGACAGCTGGGGTCTGGAGGGTTAACAGTTGTACTGATTGTATATAGATATTTGTATTTTTTTTTCTCTCTCGCTCAAGATTATGTAAAGTGGTGAAAAAATGTAAAATGTCCGATTTGAGGCGACATGAAACTTTCCATTTGTAAGACTGAGAAACGGTAACATTTTATCATATCATTCATAACACGAGTACGGAAGCCCTGAGAGGTCATTTTTCTGATCCATATTCTGAGTGATCTCAATAGTTCTCTCTCCTGTTTATGACTTAAGAACAGGTGGACAAAAGGTTGCATGGATCATTTTTCAAAGTTACTTTGTTATATGTGAAAACAGGTTAAAAAAGTTTTTGCTGGTGATTATTTTTTGTCATGAACATTTTTTTGTGTCATTGTAATACTCACTGTGACCACAAGAGGCTGCAGTGCACCTCTTTGCACTCTAAACACAACTCCACGTTTATTGTGTGTTAACAAGCTTTGTAGATTAAACCTCACCTGGAAGAGAGCATGAAGGCCTTTAGTCTTTCTAGAACACGGGTTAGTGGTGCACTTAAGCCTCTTGTGGCCAGAATGGACATTACAACAACAAACACAAACAAAAAAACATTATCCTGACATTAATATAAAAAAGGTTTTCTACTGATGAAGAAAAATGATCCCAGCTAAACCTGTTTTCACCTGTTCTTCAGTCATTAACAGAAGAGAGAAAACAATTTAGATGAGAAGTAGGAAATGGATCACCAGAAGTTTATTTTCTCACTGGCCCTTCAAGGCTTCCATACATGAACAAGAGCTTCTTTACAACAGCACGGCAAGTGCAGTCATGATTCGACCCCTGTGTCGGTATTCAGAACAAACCGCTCACTGTTTCAAAGCTCTGTTGCTTTTGGCTCCTTCTCGTAACTTTTGGAGGCTCCAACCGGATAAAACAAACACACCTGATCCGTATCAGACTTCCATGCAGCTCACACGAACCTCTTGTTCAGCAGTTATGAAGTGAGAAGTGTGGCAAGATGTTAACCGAGTCCCAGTCGTGGTAGAGACGATCTGCCCAACATTTGCACAGAGGAAGAAGAAATACTGCTTTTTCCAAGTTGCATTAAGAACCATGAGAAATATGAATCCTGCTACAGGTGCTTTTCTGTTTATGGTGACGTACAAGTCACGCAGCACACAGACGCATACGTTTCCTCACCTTCAGGTGTACGAGTTTCATTCCTCTTAAGTGCCTTCTGCCTGTACAGTAGTCGGGTTTCTCCACAGCCATGCTCCCCCTCCACGTGCACATGGCTACATGATGCTGTCGGAGGCGTCGTGTTTTACATCCATGGAACCACACGCGCGGCGTTTGAGAGGAATGATGTCACCGCAAAGTTTCCACCTCCCTTCTTTTACATACGTATCTGCAAATTTGTAAATAGCCTTTTTTTTCATAGATTTGAAGCTGTAGACATGTTGAAGTAGAAATAGAAATATATTGGTGCCTAAATATAGTGGGATTATTTTTGGTAAAGACACATAGCACTATTAGGCAAAAGGAAAAAATGGACACCCATTGACATGCGAGCTCTGGTTTATAACGCGTTTTAAAAATGACACACTGTCCTGGTGTGTGTGTTTTTTTGTTTGTTTTTTTCTAACGCCTACAGCCAGGGGGGGGGGGCATTTCATTTTTGAAACCCACCGCCGCTCCACGGCTCGCAACGATGAACACGATGTCCAAACCGAGAGTTGACTCAGTATTCATGAAAAGTGCCATGCAGCAGTAACGGAGCTCTCATTATTCAGGTGGTTGCTACGTTTTCTATGAAGCAGAGCTCATGCAAAGCGTCATCCACAACAACAAACAGGACAGCATGTAGGCCCACACTCACCCCACGGGCAGCCCCCGAAACAAGGCTGTCTGCGATCTGGCTGGATGGTGCGAGGATGGAGCCTTATGTGGACGAGATGGTGAGAGACGGTTCACTGTGTGTGTGTGCGTGCGCGTGCGTGCGTGCGTGTGTGTGTGTGCGTGCGTGCGTGCGTCAAACCAAGCTCACTCACTGTCTTTCAACTCCAGGAGGGCAGCGCTCCACCGATCCAACACCGGTAGAACTGTTCTAGACTGAGGACTTGGTCCAACGAGTAAGAGGGCGGGATGCTCTGAACCAAAGTCACATTCAGTAGAATGTGACTTTGGGGCCTGCTGGGGGGTTGTTTATGCTCTTTTCAGAACCACTCTATTTGTGATTAATAAAAACTCACTTCTAACATGACTGGGGACCTTATTTGTGTTTGCCTTCGTGTGAAGCGAGGACTTCTGCATCTGCGCTGCCACTCTTGTCATTTCATAATTTGTCTTCCGATTGTCCTCGATGTCTCCCTCTGCTTACGGGAATCCTATTCCGTGTAAGAAAGTCCATCAAATGTCCCACTGGCAGCATCTTTGTTGATCTAAAGCCGTAAATCTATTGGTGGGAGTTAAGCCATTTCCACTTTCTAGTCTTAAAACAGCTTTCTTGCTCCTCTGTGGTAACCGTGCCAACTGGCAGCAAGTCCCGGGATAAAGAGCATTAGACCCAATGAGCTCAGCGGGGTGATATACTGTAGTTAGCGGAGGAGCTAGCGCACACTTTTATTTAGAAATCCATTGGAGCTCGGGTCGCCCGTTTGGTTCAACGTGGGCTGAATAAAAAGCACCTTTCTGATTGTGGGTCTGAGGAATCCTCCCAGATAATGAAATGGAGAACATTTAGTTGAGCAGACCACACGGTTTGGAAGCGTGACTCATTCTCGCTGCACACTCCACCTCATTTGTGTCCTACGTTACGAGCCCCCCATCCTCTTACTGCCGTACAATCCAGTCACGTCACGTTCTTAACATTAAAATGTTTTTAGAGATTTCTAAAAGTGAAACAAGGACATTCTGACAGGCTTCGAGATGTATATGTTGGTAAGAAACAAACTGTTTATAATAGGTGGGCTTAGTCACCATGATGTCACCCATTGGTTTGTGGACTATCATTTTGAAGCCTCGAGTTAGCCAGAGGTGACCGAAGAGGGTGGAGCCGAGTTCAACTGGATGTCATAAAAGACATTTTTAATGTTTCAATTAACTTTCATGGCAGAAAAAAACACTGAAAGGGTTAAAGTTGTGAGGTGAAAAAAACCTGTCAATCACCGTGTAGCCCCGCCCTAAAGCATCCCCTGCTTTATGGTCTGTTTGACTCTAAATGGACCATAATGTACTAAATGAACATCATGCTGTATTGAAGAAGACTTGAAACTAGAGATTGAGACCATAAACTCATGTTTACAATGTTTACTGAGGTAATACATCAAGAGAGAAGTAGAGTCATTTTCTCATAGACTTCTATACAACCAGAGGAGTCGCCCCCTGATGGTCAGTAGAGAGAATGCAGGTTTAAGGCACTTCTGCACTGGCTTTGCTTTCAAAACCGGAGGTTGCCGCCCTTAAAAAAAGGGAATTTAGCATAAATCTTTATCTAATCTGTTAACAAGAAAACTCCACAGGGTGCCTTTAATCCTGAAATGTTAATACCAAGGATTATTTTCTCTTGGAAAACCATCTTTCTGGATGCATGTGACTTAAGTTTCTCTCTTTCTCTGACTTTCCAGAGCACAACAAATGACGTTCGCATCACAATTTCACCAGCTGAGTGTTTTTTTTGAACCATGGACACTTGGATGAAGTATTTGTTTGTGCTTGATGCCTTAATTACACATTACTACTCGAGGCTACAGGAAATAACCGGGCAGAGGTGAGAAACAAAGGTCCCCGGCAGGACTCAAACAGGGATGTTGCAGTTCACTTAAACACACTTAATATCAAGTTTCAATCATAGAATCAGACAGATCGTTTTTAAATTGAAATATTATAATACTGTACATGCAGTGGTATCTAGATTCATTATGATACTGAGTGAAGGCGATGTACCAGATCACTGAGACTTTTACGTTACCTCTCAAACTGTCACCATGTCCTCTTGGAATCTTAGCTGAAGAGGTTTGATCAACTGTGAGTTGCTGATTTCTTATATTTCCTGGCAATTTTGCAAGACACGCTGGACTATTTCTGGGATTTCTTGTTGTCATGTTTGAAAAAGCCAGAAAAGGAACGCCACTTCCTTAAGGACTAGCGGGACGCCCCACGAGGAAACACCCGCTGATTTGTTCCCCAAATTCTAATTTCAGTAGACATTACAGATGCTTTCCAGTTGTGAACAAACAGAGCAGACGCCACAGTGAGGAGAGGAAGAGACGGGAGAAAATCATACTCGACAGAAGGATGAGGCCTATTTAGAAAGATATCCCAGCACGAACGTGATGAGGTGACACATTGACAAGATATTTGTCCGCATCACAGCTGCACCCACTGCTCCCAACTGCACACCACCGACATGGTCTCAAGATAGAAGGACCGTGCTTGTTAAAAGTTTGCAGTCATTTGTCCAAACACGGAGAGGAGTTGTAGTCATTTGTCCATGTGACATTCAGATGTTCCAGCTGGCAGTTGACGGACAATTTTGGACGTCTTATTATTTTCCTTCACTGCCTCAAAATTGAGTCATTGGTATGAAAGAGACGTCGTTGCGACTCGGTTCGTACAAAATAAAGCCCCGGGGGGAGTCAATTAACTGTTGTCAAAGGAGGAACATTATAATCTTTTTTCACAAATCACCAGAACTAATTACACAGTTAAGAGAATCTGTTCCCGCAGGATTTTTGTAATGAGCTAAAGTAAAACACACGCACTACAAAATGTGAGTTTCTTCCTCTGTACACTTCATATTTCATATAGTTGGAGATGTAGCAGTGCAAATGTCACACTGTGCGTTCCAATACCCACACTACCGTACTATTTATTATGCTGGAAAAGACTTAGTATGTCCCAATACATACTATATAAAATGCAGTGTATCCATAAATACCAGTAGGTTCTACCAGGATGATCCACAATTCTTTGCGCAGCAGATATGAGCAAAAGGGTCAAAGTTCAAGGTGCCACATTATGAGGAAGAAGTATATCCCAATTGAACGCATACTGCATGCAACAGTGCATACCTTGTAAGAACAGCTGCAGTGTGTACTAAGAGTAGAAAGAAAAAGTAAGACTTTTGGAACGCTGCTCAAGTTTGTGAACTGAAGTGCAAGCGAGCAATTTAAGAATCCTGGAAACAGGAGTTTAGTTAGAGGGGATGTGGCCGATGCTCCAACTATGTATTGTGACGTTTGCCACATGTCTGAGAGCAAGGTGGATGAAATATAACAATTAACTTAAGTCTTTGTTGTTATTTTATGACCACTAATATATAAAACTATTTCTATAGGGGAAAGTAAAGATTGACTTTTGGCAAGTAGATTTCTGACCCACTAATGCAAGTGAAAAAACAAGAATAAAAACATTAATGTTGAACTCTGGCATATGTTTGTGAAACATGTGGCCAAATGGTGTTGGCTTCTTTTACTGACTAATGTTATGGCATATTTGGTGCATATTCACTTTTTACAGAAAATGTGGTTCTGACTAGTCAGTGTTTGTCAGTGGAAACCTTTTTAAAGTTTCAGAAGCTTTTTCATCGTATCGAGAATTTGAGAAAAAAAAAAGAAACATGCAGTGGTTATAATATGGGGGAGGTTTTATTTTGGTATGGAAATGTTAAAATACTGAATAATGGCATAGAATATCTGGGACGCAAAAACCTTAACTGAAGAGGAACGAAAGAGATAATCCGTCCCGTTGTTGAACTCTGCCCTCTAGCGGTGCAGCGCTGCCATCACACAACTGTTCACTCAGAGGGACTATTTCTTCCGCCTGTTGATACTGCGCCAAAAATGTGCAGACATATTGTCGAAAAGTTATCGGTATTTTAAATGGCCACATTCAACAATGTATTGTGTTATTATAGCGCCGAGAGTATAGTTATCAAAAGTTTTAAAAAGAAAAAACGTTTGATAAATACAGCTCTCCGTCACATGACTGCCCGCGCATGCGCACTCAACCGGTTGTAACTCGAAATATTCAATAATCTGGGAAGCAGTTTAAGAGCTGGACGTCTCACAGCCAAACGAGAAGGAGCTCCAGTGTTTTACAGGTGTTTCGGACCCGGTGACAGCTGACCAGCAGCGATGAGCTTCTTTGGGTTTGGTCAAAGTGCGGACATCGATGTAGTTCTGAATGACGCCGAGACGAGAAAGAAAGCTGAGCATAAAAGCGAAGACGGCAGGAAGGACAAGTATTTTCTCTTCTACGACGGGGAGACGGTGTCGGGGAAAGTCAACGTGACGCTCAAGTACCCAGGGAAGAGGCTCGAGCACAACGGCGTCAAGATCGAGTTTGTCGGCCAGATAGGTGAGCGGCTCGCGGGCCTGCGTGTTTCACTCTGAGCCCGCTGAGAGAAGTAGCAAGTATTAGGAGGAGACGTCAGGGAGCTAGCTACACGCGCTAACCCGCGCCGTGTACTTTATTCAGTGTATCTTATACGAGTAGCGCGTGAGCCACTTCAACGTCACACCGGCCCGCTGTGGTAACAAGTGTCAGTTTGAGAAGTGTCGGGTCTCGTGACAGATGTGGGTGCAAGCTAACGTCAGCTGACGCACCAGCCATTGGCTAGCTGTCTCATTGACCCTTGACCCCCTGTTTATCTTTTTTTTTTCATTTAAAACAGGGCGCTTCTCTGTCGGAGCACAGCTGTGACTTTCATACCATAGTAACTAGTTTACGGCTGATTCACGCACCATGCAACTAGTAGCAGGTTGAAAATATAAGTTGCTGTTGTTAGCAACAATGTTGAACACTGAACGTGAAGATATAAACCACATACAAACTGGAACTGTCATTGAATTGTTTCCAATACTTGCTACTTATCTCCCACTGCTATTCAGATACAAACGTTATATTTGTTACTCCACTACATTAGTCTGACAGCTATGGTTACTTAGCACTTTTATATTTTACAGACAAAACATACATTTATAAAAATGTAGTTTGTTACAGAATAAACTCGACCTTGAACAGCCACAACATGAAGATGCTGTTTATTGCATTAGTGATAATAACCCAGTAATACTACATATAAATCTAACATTGCCAGGTGTCGTACCATTCAGCTGCATATTGAGTACTACTCCTGTCAGGCACTGAAAGTACATTTTGATAGTAATAATTCTGTTCACTTTACATGTGCAACATTTTGAATGCAGAACTTTAGCTGATGATTGGGTGCCTTCACATTGTTGTGTTCCTGTAAACCACTATGAAGACTCCACCGTGTGAAGACATTCAGCAGTAAGGGTTGCCACGGTTGACGTGTAACAAAAATGTGAGGTGACTAAAAATGGCAACCATATTTTCAGTTTCAGCAACCTGAAGCTGATGCCTTGTTTCCAGGAGCAACAACTTTGTAAAAGTTACGGTTGAACTCTGATATCTTTTTGTCAAAATCGAGTGCATCGAATAAGACACACCCTGATTCATTTTTCTTGTCAGGACTTTTTTTTGTTGTTGTGTTGAAGTAAGACTATAAAAACCAAATCTGCAACTAATTGTACAAAGGTTGCTCTGTGTAACGCCGGCCTCGGGGTCCACTAGATTAAGGGAAACAGCCCCTCATTCAGTCCATCTGCAGCTTGTTTGCCTGTCAAGCTGTGTACAGTTCTGTTCAAACTTCTTTTCTCCTTCATCAGCATGCAGTGAGCCTAGTTAAGCTGAGTTTGCAGCAGCAGCAGGGAGTTCCTCTTTGTCCTCTCCGCACCATGAGAGCATAAATATATCTTGACATTTTTCATCAGTGCTGCAAACCCTCCCTTTTCCTTTTTCTGTCCACCGCCATTTCTCTCCCAGTAAAGAAGAAGCAGAAGTACTTTGGATCAGGAGTAGAAGGGCAAAATGGCAGCCTTTGTAAAAAAAAAAAGAAAAGTCAATAGTCCGAAAGTACTTCAGGTAAAACAGTTTGAACGGATTTGTGTGCAACGATAGTTTTTCTTCTGCTATGAATAAAAAGCTTGTGCAAACTCCTCACTACAATGTATGAAAGCTCTCCACTGCAGCTGTCTGATGCCGGTACCGTGTCTCCTACAGAGCTGTACTACGACAGGGGGAACCACCATGAGTTTGTGTCCCTCGTGAAAGACTTGGCTCGGCCGGGGGAGCTCACGCAGTCCCAGACGTTTGACTTTGAGTTCACGCATGTGGAGAAACCCTACGAGTCTTACACCGGCCAGAACGTCAAGCTACGGTAGGCTCTGCTGTGGGCACTGTGCGTGGTGTGCGTGGATTATTTCCAATGTTTGTGATGTGCGAATTTCAGCATCGTAACAGGGTTCAGCTTTAATGTTTTTGTTTTTTCATGTAACAATCAAGATTCTGAATGGATTTCCTCCAGAAGAACCTTAAATTGCTCCTGGTGGACAGTATTATTCCCAGCCAGTCAAAGTTGTGTCAAACATGATTGTGTGATTTGTTGAAAAATCACACAAAATAGCAGCTTTTCTGTGTAAGTTGGCAAACTTCTTAGAAGTAAAGAGGCAGCTCCTCAGCCTACCCATTTTATTTATGCAACAGGAAGCATTTTCATTTGTTCTATAACCTCAACTTGTTATCTTTGAAGTCACTGAGAATTACCAAACTTTCTAGTAAAAAATGTTCATTTGGGCAAATTTAGCATGAAGAAACGTTACCTTATGTCTTAGATTTGCCGTTGTGTGTTTACAATATAGATATCAGTTGATACAACTTTTCCAAATATAGAAACTCCATCATCTTCTGTACAATTCACTTAGTTTTTAACACTTTTATAGTGCACACTGGAGTCCATCCTAACATTAGCACCCCTATGTAAGGAATCAATTTTACATCACATTGTGAGAGACGGACTGATTTCACACCCCTAATGTTAAAACACGCTAAAATGCTAAGCTAATGTTGACATGTTAAAGGAATAGTGTGACATGTTGGGAAATACACTTGTTTGCTTTTTGCCAAGAGTTCACTGATAATAATAATACGACTCTCTCTCATATTAGTTGTGTGGGTTCATGTAAGTCTTTTTGCTAAGCTGACAGTCTCCTGTTGTAGCTCCATATTTAACTCTAATATGATTGGCTGGACCATCAATAATAACCCACACAGCTGGCCAGCTGTGTGGGACGTGTCCTGATGTGGCCACTGTGAAGGGAAGACACCTTTTTCATAACGACTTGGCCTTTCTTCTGGCTAAACTTATCAAGTTTATCTGCCCACTCATCCAGCATGTACTGTGAGTTGTGTTTTGAGCAGCACAGTCTCAGTGTGAGGCACCAGGCCTCAGCGCCAACCTTTTAAAGGGGTTCCACGCGGGACGCCAGGCATTAGCTTTTGGTTGCCGAAAAACTAAACTATCGTTGTCATTTTGAGTCACCTAATATTTTGGGTAAATAAGATAGTATACATATTTAGAAATCTATATTTTGGGGTGAATGTTTTGCTGTTTGCTATCTCTCTCTATTTTATGTTACAAATTGGTTTGCCAAGAATTGGTTGCCGATGGGCAGCCCTCACTGTCCAGTCCTTCCTTGTTTCATCGCCATGTGACCTTTTTCCTCTTCCAGCTACTTCCTGAGGGCGACAGTGAGCCGGAGACTGAACGACATCAGCAAAGAGCTGGACATCGTGGTGCACACACTCAGCAGCTACCCCGAGCTCAACTCCTCCATCAAGATGGAAGTGGGGATCGAGGACTGTCTGCACATAGAGTTTGAGTACAATAAATCCAAGTATGAATGAGTTCCTTCTCCTCCATCCGAAGTGCTCCACCTGTTCATTCCACCTGTTTTCCTGAGAAAGCGGGTGTTTTGGTTTTGACAGACGACATTGTTTTTCCTCGCAGGTATCACCTTAAAGATGTGATCGTGGGGAAGATTTACTTCCTGCTGGTGAGGATCAAGATCAGACACATGGAGATCGACATCATCAAGCGGGAGACGACCGGCACGGGGCCGAACGTCTACCACGAGAACGACACCATAGCCAAGTATGAGATCATGGACGGAGCGCCAGTCAGAGGTAACGACGAGGCCTCCATGGGGTTATGAGCCGAGTCTCTACTGCCAGGCCATTTGTCCCACACTGTTTCTCTGCCTTCTTGTGCCGCAGGAGAGTCCATCCCCATCAGGCTGTTCCTAGCGGGCTATGAGATGACGCCCACCATGAGGGACATCAACAAGAAGTTCTCGGTGCGGTACTACCTCAACCTGGTCCTCATCGATGAGGAGGAGAGGCGCTATTTCAAACAGCAGGTACACCTTCATGTTGGCCTGGAAGTGAAGTGTACTTCATGTCACCAGGGGCCCTGAGATACGATATTTCAACATTTATTAGACTAAACAATTCATCGAGAGAGTACTCACTACATGGCTGATGAAAATAATAGATAGTTTCACCACCTGAAGTGTAACTTCAGTATTTAGCATTAAGGGAGAGCACTGCAGATGGCAGCAGCTGATCGGGCTGCAGTGTTCTACTACGGGACCCACAGTCAATGTACGGCCACTAAAAGTGCTGGTTGTTGCTGCTGACGGTTTCATATTGTTATCATAAATGCCTGACAACATTATGGAAAGGACCGTGAGGTGAAGTCTAGCACGAGTGAGAGGACTCATCCATATTGTAGAAGTCAGCGAAATATTCAGCCATGACACTGAAGATCTTTGAGCTACACTTCCTGTCCTCCAGCACCGGCTCTCCTCTCTACAACTCTGTCACGTTTCCACCCTTCTCTCCTGGCAACAAGTTGCCTCTCCGTGTCAGAATGAGCCGTCTCCTCCAGTGAGACTTGGTTGGACACTGTAAGCGGACTACTAGATTACTATAAGTGAGTTATTTAAACAGCATTTGTTTAAATGCTTAACTTCGGCTCAACCACAAGTTAATATGTGTACATGTATATAATATGTGTACATGTATATAATGAAAATATTACAATCACTAGCTGGTTTCACTCGACAATCTTCTGCATTTTTAGTTGTTTAATTGATGTCCCAAGCTTTTTGATCCATATAAGCAGCTGATCACTGTAACTATAATCACTGTAAGCAGATTACACTGTCATGAAAAAAATATTATAAAGGATTATTAAAATATTCTTGTAATTTGATCCTATATTCTACAACTGTAGAATGGAAGAAAGCACAATAACCAATTATTTAGCATGGACTCGTCAGGGTGCTAGGTTGCTCTAAACATGAATCCCAAATACCAACACATCGCTGAGTGTCACAACCTCTGTGAAAACCCTGTTTGTGGATTTGAAGATGAGCGGGTTGGTGAATGAGGCCCAATCTGAGCATGTCAGGGGCAACAAGGAGCTCTTTCAGTGGACGCGCGGTGATGGTGCTGAATTGCCCGTGTAGAGGCTGCAACACTGTCCCAAGTAGAGGCTGCCACACTGTCCCGTTTAGACATAAAAACACGTCCAAATACCAAAGGTACTATTTAACATTCTACAATAGAGGCTTCGGCTAGTTGACCCAGCAGACATTAACCATGCGCACTGTTCACCTTAAAGGTCAATCAATCATTGACATTCAGCTTCTCTCATGGGTGTAGTTTTGTCAAATAATCTATGAGTTAGGCACATTTGCTCATTATGAGCGTCAGTCACAGTTCCCAGCAGGTCACATGTGATTCATCCCTCCACCATGTCCTATATCATTCTTCTCGTGTCGTGTTGCAGGAGATCACCCTGTGGAGGAAAGGCGACATCGTGAGGAAGAGCATGTCTCACCAGGCCATCATCGCCTCCCAGCGCTTCGAAGGCTCCTCCAATCCGGAGAAGACCCAGCCCCAGAGCAACGAAGAGGACGACAGCTAAAGCCCAGCATGCACCTCACCCAACGCGCTGTGAGTGCCGGAGCGAACGCCATGCGGAAGCTGTCGGCCAATTCTGTGTGTGTGTGTGTGTGTGTGTGTGTGTGTGTGTGTGTCGAAGGAATAAACAAACAGTCCGACTCAGACTGTAGTTGCAAGTAATTCTGTTTGTTTTAACCACCTTGAAGTACCAGCTGGGTG